TGTCTTCGAGAAAAGAATTTGGTCTCCATAAAGGTACATCTTCAATCAAGGCCACTTCAACCCAGACCCGACTTGCATTGGGACCTAACGGGACGTGATGGACAAGAGTTAATGGATCAGTACAACTTACTCGCCTTCTGCAACTTTTCGTCCTAAGTTGTTATGGTCCAACAAAATGCACTTCTTCCTTGGACCTGATCTGGTAGAACTAGTGCTGCCACTTGGACTCTACAAGCACAACAGATACATCCCAGCAAGTACATCTAAATAAAATGTTGTAACATAATTTACAAAAAAAGAATAAGATTGTAAATTTACCAATGAAGGTTTCTGATAGTAGTTTCGCCTGGATCTTCAGTAACTTTTATTACTGATACATTATGGAGCGGCCATGTGATCTATTCATTAACAGCATCACTCATTTTTGTCATGTCAGTTGTTAGCCTCCATCGAAAAGCTTTCCCATCAATCACCTTAGCAATTCCTCACAACTACATCATTCGGACCCAAATGAACATTGTTGACCAGCTCACGTGGGTCAGTGGAACCCATATAATCTTCAGCGATTAACTCGACGTCATTAACCCAATCGTAGATTTTGCACCTTTCAAGATCATCTTCACTAGTACGCTAAATTCATAAGGCATATGGTTAGTGATCATGTTGAATTTCAAAATACAAACCTAAGTATATCTGCTAATGGAATTACATTTGATCCTAACACATCCGAAGAAACTGGATGGTTGTTCGATGCACTATCTAGTATAAGTTTATCCATTGGCCATGGAATCTTGCATCCCACTGCTTCCTGAAGATTACTCACATCCGTAGTTGGGCTCCAGACATATGCCTTCTGGTTTGATACCGCCTTAACAACAACCGCCGCCGCATTAGGACCAATTGGAATGCGACTAATCTTGTATGTAGGTTCAAAAGAGCACCATTCTCCTTCAGCTACAAAAACATCTTTTGACTCACACCAATCAAGTAGTTGAACTCTAGTTCCTTCTTTGTATTCATAACTAGACTCAGATGAAGAAACACAATCATCTTTTTCTGTCAAGAAATAAAATGAATCAAAGAATTTATATCACTTAAGCAAATTCTACATATTATAAGTAGTAAAAGACTTTAGAAAATTCACCTTATTTCCAGCTAAGTCACGTAGCTGATTCCTCAAGTCTTTAAGCTCGCTTTCCAAGTCTGCAAGTTTGGAGTCTCTAGCTGACAAAAATGATAGCTTCATAGCAGTAATCCCTCTTCCCAACACTCTGACTCGTCCAGGTTTGTCTACTCCCAACACTTGACTAACAGTATCGTCTTTTATATTAACACTGGATGTGGAGTCCATTTGACTATCAAGTGAAATAATTTTGTCCTGAGACAACACAATTTAAGTTATAGTCCTTTTCAATACCAAAAAAAGAGTAACTTAATTAATCAGATATTGAAATCTTACAATGGTTTCAGAAAAATCAGGTCTAATAGGTATACCATCAGTGTGAGTGTGACCTGCTATCCAGACCTTGCTCCGGTTAATCTTCTTAGGGTCTGCAGTCTTTTTTTTCTACAAGTGATATATTGTTTTAGTTATCAGTTTGTTCTATCATTATATCAAATATAATTACATACTGTTACTTATCATTTCACAAGCTAGACGATTCATTCCTTTACGACTGGTGGTGTGAGGAATCTGAACCCTCCTAATTGCTCTGTACTTGTCACTCTTTGCCTAGAATATCATTAAAGCAAATTTCATCAATCAAATCTCCAAATTAAACACTTAAAAACCAAATGCTTTGTTTATGTCACCTTGAATGCTGATGAAGTCTTACTCTTAACCCAAGAGCTCCAAACTTGAACAGATCGAATGTTGCTTGGTTTCAGAGCTAATCTCTCTGTGCTACTTTTTGCATCTCGCAGTTGTGATACAATCCTTGACTTTCCAGATCTCCACAAACAACCCATCTGTCTGAAGACAAAATCTTTTTGCCACTATTCTTTCAAATTAAACCTCGCCTGCAGTAATCTATGCAAACATCACATATTATAATCCTTACAAAGACATATATACAATAGACTTAAGTGCATATATATATACCTAAATTTCCCCCCATAGTATGTCCTTTGTCTGCTGATCAAGATTCCTCCAATCATCAAGAAGTACAGTCACGTGTTCGCGTACAAGAGGTCTAAGGAACGATGACAGTGTCACTGATCCAGGACCTACAGCCAAACTCAGTGAATGACACAGAAACCTTCTCTTCAGGATCCTTGGCCACTTTACGCATCTTTGTGGGTCCTCTTTTCTTCTTTGGTGTTCCATCAGATGGCGGTGCTTCTGCTCCTGAAATGCCATTCTCCGCTTGGGTGTTAGCTTCTGTCGGATGAGAAGATTCTTCAGGAACTCCATCCTCAGCTTCTGTAGGCTGAGAATGTTCTGTAGTAACTCCATTCTCAGCTTCTGTAGGATTAGAATGTTTTAGCTCCATTCTCATCATCTTCCATTTCTACCTCTGGAACTTCAGCACTAACATCTTTTCCCACTTCAACTTCATCACCATCAACTTCCTCCTCATGAAATTCAGGAACTTCTATCTGAATAACATCTTCAGAAACCTTTGTTCCTTCTTCTTCACCACCTTCTTTCCTTATTTCAATGGTTTCTTCTTCATTAGCATCTTTTTGGCTTATTTAACTTACGGATTTTGGTTCTTACCGGGTTAATGAATTCTGTGTCTGCTTCCAAACCTTGGGAACATCTGCTTCTTCTAACTTGAGGCGTTATTCCTCCTCGTGTTTTCGGCCCCATGTTAATTTGTTCCTAAAAAAAATAAAATCACAACTTGGTTGTTACTGTAAATTGCAAATCGAAGACGATACAGATCTATTGAGATAATAAGCAATCGATTAATTTTCATGATGCATGCAATCAATTAAGAGTAAGATAAATGGAAGATCGAGACAGAGATCGACGAAAAGGAGATTCGTAGAAGTCTATCAGAGGGTTAACAGAAGACGAACCTGAGAATGAAAGAAGACGATTGATGATTCGGAAGGGATGAACGAAGAACACCCAAATATTTTTGGGAGAGAAAATGAAGAGATGGATTAATGAAAATGCATGAACAAAGAAGACACCGCCTTTGTTTGGTCAACGATATTTTCGTCCACAATTTTTTTTCATTTCCCGGGTTTTAATAAAAAAATAAGCGGTCGAAAATACCATAATGTTTATTCTTTCTCCGTGCTATAATACATATATCAAAATCCCAAAACAATACGCGCTTCCTAATTTCATTTTGCCGCTCCGGATATAATAGTGTTTTAGTTAGTGAAACGCTATTATATTTCCACCCACCAACATACAATAGCACACACTAATTAAACGCTATCTTACAGTGCTATTCAAAACCCTTATTTCTTGTAGTGAACTGATATCCAAATTAAACATATGTTACATGGAAATGAAAGCGGGTACGCAAAAGCGGTAAGAAGCGCTGAAAAAAAAATTTAGAAATATTTAGGAAGCGGATACATGTTGGAAGTGTATATATAACACTAAAGTTAATATATTGAATACAATATCTTAAATAGTAAATTCAGTACAAAATTCATATACTATAACTCAAATAAAAAATATGTATAATTACAAAGACCAAATATAATATAACATGTATAAATCATATGTATAATTGCTTTGAGACTGATAAAATAAAGTATGAGAGTTAATTATTTCATACACATCAACTGATAATACAAACAATAAGTGAAAAATCATATTACAATTAGATTATTATTCAGAAATCTGGAGTTGGAATAGATTTGCATTTTTAGAGTTCAGCTCTATTGTTATTTTATGAATTAAGTTTTTTAAAAGAAAGTGAGTTAAATTGGACCATAAATCAATTAAAATTTGCAAGTCCACAAGAATAATGTTCCATCTTCTTTGCACATTAACAATACAGCCACCGTCAAACTTTCGATAAACGACCCTCACGCTTACACCTATTGAACCGTGTGTTTCCGTCATGCTTCCAAACATCATAATTCTGGAAACGAAATTCCATGACGATTCCATACGATTTCGAGCGCTTTCGGTTCTGATTCTGCTTCGAAAATAAGAAACGTACCTCCACTATAGATTTCGTGTAACATAGGATTAAACAAAATAATATCTTTTTATCCTAGAAAATGAAATTATTAATCTCATTTCACGTAAGGTGATGATTATTACCTAGTCTCTTTTAAACTCAGAATGATCAGAACCTCTCCTGAGTTTGCGATTGCGATCCTCATCTTATCTTTTTTTTTTATCTACCTTATTTACAAAAGGAAAAATTTTGATAAAGATAAGGGTATCCTTCGATGGTTTCGTTAGAAGAATCTCCAGAGAAATCAAGGATGTTTAGGTAATGATCTTAAAGGTATAGACATAAAGCTTGTTATCCTTATAAGCCTTGTCTTTACATTGTGTGCATGTAATACTCCATCGATAGCACCATCACAATAGGTTACTAGTTTCTTGTATAAGAAGATATACAATTGTTTGATAGCCCCAAGCAACGCTGAAATCTCCATTTCTCTATTTATCCAGAAAACAGATGGCTTTGAGAGAATTTGGTGCCGTATAGGTCAAAAAAGTAGTCAATATGTATTCATCGATATATCTAATCTAACAATAATAAAAGTTGGTAATCCTCAAAGGAGAGGCTATCCACGTAGGCTTAATAATTCGACCAATCAAAATGGCACATCATCTTAATAAAGCAACGAGGCTTTCCGATTTATTCAGAAGTCAAACCTATAGCTTTATCTTTTCGTTTTCCCCAGCCTGTAACCCTTCCTCCTCCTACGTTAAGATTTTTTTCCTCTTCCTGATCAATCGAAACAAAAAAACTTGAATTCAATCGATTGTATCGGCGGTTTCAAGCACCCACCAATCATAAACTCTTAAACTCACTTATCATTCCACCTTCTCCTGCTCAAACATTTGCTATATGGAATCTGAACAACCTATCATATTAAGAGTTCCCCTCACTGTCCTATTTCTATCTTCTTCCGATCCAAAGAGAACCAGATTAGGTCGGTAAGAGTTTCAATATAATTTTGTTCCAGAAAAGCTCAACTTTTTTATATGATTTTTGTAATTTTTTTGTTTTTGAAAGATCCACCAATAATCCGAAATCACTCGAAGATCAGGTATTTGTCCTCATTTTCATACTTGACTGTTTCCTTCTGTATTATTTTGGTCATCTAAAATTTAATTTATTCAGATACAATGAGATCTGTGTATGTAAGCTCTTGGTAATCTAACGTCTTAATTAAGAGTATGTTATTTATATATGAGATATAGAAATACATTAGATATTCATGCCTCTCTGCTTTTTGGTCTATATGGCGGCCATTAAGAGAGAATGATTCACCAAAGGTTTTGCAATGGTATGTTTAGAGACTGATTCTAAGCTAAAAATTCACAGAGGAATATGTATTAGTTTGCATTTTGATGTGGTTATGCTTTCTGTACCTCAGTGCAAGTATTTGCTCTGTCATAAAAACTCTACATCCTAATTTTATTCTTTTATCTTTGCTGTCTAATGTTGTGGATGCAAAGGATTTAACGATCCAGAGCAAAATCAGCAGCTCGTGAAATAAAACTCGCAGTTTGTTTTGATCTATATATACTCGTGGCAGGGAAAAGGATACACAAAAGAGGTATTAACTTGATGACATATATCTGAACTTAAACAGGGCATAAATGCCCAAGTTCTCTGTTCGGAACCAAAAACAAAATGAGCTGGATGACAAACTGAGGTATGATTTGCTTATCTTATCATGTTCTGAGAATTGTATTGAAAAGCACCACAAAAATATCTTGATCCATATCAGGGATAAGCTTGATGTGCAAGGATAGTTGGCTTAGAGTAAACGCCTTTTTTATGTGTAACAGAGAGTAAAGAAGACCAAAAGGGCTGTTGAGAGATATCAGGATTGTGCACCCAATTTGTTTAAGCACTGCTCGATGAATCTTATGTGCACCCATAATCAAAATTATGAAATCAACTAAAAAGTTTATTTCTATTTGTTGCAGCTTTGGAACTCTAAGGAGGTGACACAGAGGAGTACAGTGAGTTTTACAGGGCTTTCAACGAGTATTTGGACCCACTGGCATCAACCCACTTCACAACAGAGGTACGTTGGAGGGAAAACATCTCTTCGAATATGCTACTGAGGTGAACTTCTTGAGCATATATGTAGCGCTGTAAGATTCAGGAAGGATGAAGTGAGCTTAGCATTGAGAGATGAGACTGTATATATTGTTCATATCTAGCATTAATTTCAGAATTGAGTTATATGTTGTCTAATGTAGTTTTAGCAAAAAGGAGTAGGAATATACGTAGATATTGTATTTGTGGTACATAGCATAGGAAACAAATGAGGTATTTTATCTATTTTGTCTGTAGTTTGTACCTTTCTTACTTTCAGTCTCAAACTTTTGTGCTCATTTTTTTTTTGCTAGGCAAGATACCTTTTCCAACAGGTTAGGTTATATGAAGAGTCAAACCCGTGCAGACTTACTGAAGCTTTTTTTATCATTCCTTTAGTCACATTATTTTTCCTTATTATCATAGCATATAAGCAAGAGTTTGAGAAAATTGGAAATAAATCGCTTTGTTTATAATCACCTTTGGGCTTTCCATTTTGGTGAAAAAAAAATTGTGTTTGGAATAAAGGTAACCAACCACCTTGATTTAAAACTCATCTGTGCTTTTAAGTGATTGTATGGGGATCCTCATTCTCTGTGTAACCTTAATTTTTTAATTAATTAACCAACTCCAGATAACCACAAAATGCAAACAACAACTCATTGACAGAGTTTCTGATTATCAGATTAAGCGTTTTCTTTTTGTAACGCTTTCAGATTAAGCTTAGACTCAAAAGGAACATGAGAAAGTTGGTTGTTTGACATCAATAAACACCTCTGAAATCAAAATAACCCACAAGCCTTAAAAATTGTTTTTTATATAATCATCAATAAAAATTTATTTCTAATAGTTTCTAAATATATTAGAATTGGATGTCTTTTTAACAAAAGGGATTTCATTAATTTAAAATAAGTTTAGAAGGAAACGAGAATAACCAGATTACAAAATAAAAGGGGAGAAGGATCAACGATTGATAGCAAGATCATAACCAGACAATAGCGAGGATGGTGACTATAACGGGTTATACCAAAATGATGCCAGTCGTCTTAGAGTTGGATTTTAATGTTTTTTTTTGATAACTACAAATAATCAATTAAAAAGATGACAAATTTGGCAGTAGATTAAGGGCCTGAGTTGGATTTGAATGTTCTGGTTTATTCGCTTACAAGTCATAACAACACAAGTTCTCCTCACTCAAATAATTAACCAGAAAATATAGAATCAAACGTCGTTGCATATCATGCAAAATATTGCTACAATTACAAGAAAAGAAAATGTATACATAGACATAAAATAACTAATATTTATTTTTTAAACCAAGGAATTAATATTTATAAGACACTAAAATACTATTTAAAAAAAATTGTAATAGAATTTACGTGTACTGTCAATATTTTAAAACTCGAATTGGACAATGAAGCAGATTATTCCAGGATCATAGGATCATTGGATCTACTATTTTTAAACAATAGATCAATAAATTAATAAATTTTATTACATAGTTGTATATCAATGTAATATTATTAATCGTCAAAAATATAAGATAATATCAAAAAATCATGTTTTTATTTCTAAAATATATATTTAACAATTTAATTTTCAATCTCAGTTTTTACTTTCCATTAAAACAAATATTTAACTAATATGTTACTATCGAATTAGGATTTTGGCCAAAATTAAGATAAAATAATTAAATAACGATTCTTTTTTTAAATTTGAATATAAAAGAAATTTTTATGTCTAAAAATTGTATTGCAAATATGTTTTTTAATTGCTACCTCCAGGATTTTGGCCAAAATTTAAAATAAAAATAATTAAATAGCAATTGTTTAATTGTTACCTCCAATCTATCATATATATATATATATATATATATATATATATATATATATATATATATATATATATATATTTATATCGTTAGATTTTTCCATCTTTATTTATAATATTATACCAAATAAGTTTGTGTAATGGTTAATTTAGATTAGAGCATTACCATTTTGCTTCTCCAACTCCATCTTAAGATATTAAATAATTAACTTCAAAGTCTAAAATAACTATGGAAGTATGTTTTTACTCTAGCATACAGATAATATTGCAATGTTATATATTTTTTACACAATACCAAAAACTAATATATCTGCATATGTATAATGCACATAATCTATCCACAATGCTTTTGTAGTATCCAAACATGGAATCAGTCATAATTAAATCTCATACAGATAGTTAATCACACAAATTATGTACTTATAATTGATATCTAAGAGGAATTTTAATATGCATGAAAAAATTAAAATAAATATCTATTAGTATTAATTTTATAGATAAAAACCGCGCGTAGCGCGGTAAAATCTGTAGTTTATATAGAGATGAACAAGAAAGGTTTATCACTTATGCATGCAAACACCAAAAACAATAAATCTCAATTAACAAACACTAATGAAGATATACATAAAACAAAATAATCCAAAAAAAAGCAGCGCAAAAATTAATTTGATCTAATCATAACTCACGGAGTCGAGGAATAAACCACCTCGCGTGACCATCCTTGTGAACATTAAAGACCATCTCCAACACTTGAATCGAAAGATCACCACAATAAAGAGACCCATCTCTATAATAAATCGAGTCTGGTCTAGTAGTCCCATCAACTGCTGGTACAGTCACACCAAGATCAGTGATCCAAGCTTCTCCCTCTAATGACTCCACCTCATCCCAACTTGTCCCATCTGAATTCATCTTTAAAATGTTGAAAACCTGTTTTAACCGGTTTGTAACCATCAAAACCTCCCCAGAGACGGTAACACCGATTTTAGATAGTCGTGTTTCATCCCTAAACGGATCATCATCAACGTTGTCTAGTAATGCTCTGGGGAGTTCTTGAGAGAAGTCCAAGATTCTGATTCGGTTCAAACGACTCAAAACGTATAGCTTGTTGTCTTTGTAGACAATGTCTTGACATCCATGGAGATTCTCAGGACCTTCTTTTGTAGGTATCTCTCTCCAGAAATCGAACCCACTCCTAGTGTACATTATATAAGATAGACCTATCGACCAGACCACTATGTAACCATTGGTTTTCTCGTCAACCCATAAAACCGCTTTTGTCCGGTTTAGAACGTTACTTGCGGATACTGATGATTGATTGATCATGAAGGTGAACGTGTTGTTTTGTAATCTATGAACTTGTAGCCTCCCTTGGTGCGACTCTAATGTCGGAAGTTCGATTCTCTCACGTGTGAAAACATTCAAAACGTATAGATTTGATCGTAGGTCTAACATTAAAAGCCAGCTTCCAGAAGTTGCGAGACACTGGTGAGTAGAGAAGTCATTGCCAAGATTTCTCAGTGTGTAAAATTTACCTTCTTTGGGATTGAACACTTGACATGTCGAGCTCTTTGGTCTTCTACGAGGGAAGCTTATTATCCATGGAAACTTGTCTTGTATTGGAGACATTTGTTTGCAAACTATGTACCAATTCTTGCAAACGGATCGTGCTTTTAGATAGTCAATGATGCTCAAACGTTCCAGAATCGATTGTAGAACGTCAGAGTTAAGCTCCGACCGGTTCACCTTGTTTGACATTGAGCTTACTTTAGCTTTAGAAGAGTTGTAAAGTCTTGTTTATGTAATCGTTTAAAAAAAAAAGCTTGTTTGTTTTTTATGTAATGGTTCTAAACTTCCTTTTCCAACTAGGAATAGGAAAAGTTTTATTTCTAGTCAAAGTAGGTTTTGGGGTATCGTAATAATCCATGTGTATTTTTCTAAAAAATATACATAGCCACTAGCTTGGGCTAACGATGTACTTATGGGCTTAATGACTTTAAAATCTACACAAAAGGTGAACCATTCCTTTTCACCTGAATCCATATAAGATCATGTACATCAATGAACCCCTCTTGGGATTCAAGTTTTAATTGTTTTAATATTAAATTTTTTTTCTTTTTCTTTTCGATTATTTTAAAAAAAAAAAAATCGATCAAGCGCGGGCCATCACGTGTTGTGGGGCCCATGCTACAGTGATGAACTCCCCACAAAAATGTTCATTGCAGAGAGTTCCAGAGGGGCAGGTTCATCAAAAGAGAGTTATTTTAATATTTTTTTTATTGGAAAATGTGTGAACTTTTGTTATAATCCTATGATGATTACATCATAGGCTAAATGATTACACCATTTTTATGGGCTGTAGAGCAATTATTCAAAAGCACATAAGAATCATTTGTCAAGTTATCTCGCACAATTCACAAACTTACTGTTCTCAACTAGAATATAATTGAATTTAGAACATGTGATTTGAATTGATCACCTCAGTTTGAAATGATTAAGCAAAAGTACTCTATGAAAATTGAAAATTAAAAAATAGAAGTTTAAAATAATTCGCTAGCATTCATTAGTCAGAGACATCATTCCAGTGATTCCACCAATCATATACCCCTCTTGATGTTAACATTTCAAACTCTTATGTTATTCAGCCAAAAGGAATATTTAATTTTGAATTTCTAAAGCTATAAATGACTGAGCACTAATTTGTGAATGGAAATAAATAAAACTGGAAAGAAAATGCAGATTTTATTCGTCCATTTTTTATTCACTAGGATAAACTGCTTTTGGAATGAAATCACAATAAGAATATATATGTATATTATCGCTATAACAATTAATTCCATATTTAATGAGTTTATTTGTATACTTGTTAAATATATTGTGTAAGGTAAATGTAATCCCCCTAATATCATATCAGTGAAAAATAGATATAAGTTAAATGTCATGATTAAGATCAATAATTGAAAGAATTTTGTAACATAGAAAATATAAAAGTTTCTATATTTGAAAAAAGGTCGGTCAACATCCAAATTAGACCAACTCTTTTTTTCTTATTCTAGAATGATGCAAGAAGCTGCAGACACCTTTCACATCCCAAATTTATAAAATACTAGTGGTCCGTCCGCGCTGCGCGCGGGTTATCGGATATTTGTATTATTTAAAAATTTTAAATGATTTCTTGGTTTGTAATGTAATATTTTTACTGTGTTTTTTTATGAAAATGGTCTATTATGATATCAATGTGATGGCATTAGGGTTAAGTGATGGACATTTGGAAATTATTTTAAAATTCTTGAGTCATATATGTTATTTTTTTGTTTGACAAATTTTATTTTTTTCAGGATCAGAGATAATAGCTATGAGAATATTTTTCATAAAAATTTATTTGAAAACAAAGTCTAACAATTTATTCTAAAAGCAAAATTAAACAGAACCTTTGGAAGAAATTGAAGAGGAACATNTATTTTTTTCAGGATCAGAGATAATAGCTATGAGAATATTTTTCATAAAAATTTATTTGAAAACAAAGTCTAACAATTTATTCTAAAAGCAAAATTAAACAGAACCTTTGGAAGAAATTGAAGAGGAACATAAATGTTCAACTTACACTGAGAAACAAAACAAATAAATCAAAAGTGGAAGGAGTACGTCATCATGTTACTGGTAAGCATGTTTCCCGTATAGGCCTTCTTTTAGTTAAGGTGATCACTGAAGCCCATTATCCTTTTGTAGAACTCGGTTACCAAAAAGAAGTGGAAACAATTGGAGCAAACCGTGATCTCCGTCCCCTGTTGAGGATGGCAGTTCTGGGGTGGCCACATCTTCTTTAGTGAGGTAAGACATATATCCTTCATGTGAAATTGGAGATGCTCAAGAGATTGATGAAAAATCGCCATACAATCTTCTAGTACTGGAATACCTTGCTCATCAGTGAGTTTGTTAATGTTTTTAACCCCTAAGTCAGTTTCGCCGACGGCCATAAGGAGGACGCCGTAAATGTATCTTCCTCGGAGGTGACCACCATTTGAGGCAATGTGGATGTGATGTAGACCTAGGGACTGATTTCGAGTTTTGAAGAATTCTAGCATGTCTTTAACATAGTGAGCGTCAACATTGTTCGCGTTGAGGCAGTTTTGCACCAACTTTTGTTACCGATGAGCTAGAGCAAGCTTCTTCATGAGAGGTTGAGATCCTTTGCAACAAAGAAGTTCTCAGAACTGAAACTGAGAATTTTGGATGTCATAATTGTGTTGAAGTAGTCGGTGGGGGGGGGGGGGGTCATAGCCTACTTTGGAAACAATTATGAGATGCATGTCTTCGGGCATGAATTCAAAGGTGAGGGTATTATGTTGTTTCGATTCATAAAACTCATCGGAAAATGATCGAGGTTTTTTTTTTATTCTAACGCTGTCCTTATTAGTTTATTTGTGTTCTGCACTTGTTTATATAGGACGTTGGACACGGTGTTGATGGTAACATCGTTTACGTTTTTAAATATAATTATTGGAAGCCATAATTTTGCGTTGAATTTCTTTGCGGTTTGATTGTTATTATTTATGTTGTACCGTTGCATGTATGCTGAGTGGTTTGATGTGTAATTTATGGTTATTAAAAATTAACCGACCGGAGTTCCTTATGATTTTGCTTGGTTTTAATACTTATAATATAATTTGAAAGNCTCTATCACACAAAATAGCCAGCCCAACAACAACCACAAAACCGACAAACAGAAAACCAATTGAAACCGAAATGGGAGAGATAAATTTTGTTTGGTCTATTTGGTTTAGGTTATTGCTGACATGGCTTTTTTTGCCCCCCTCACAAATGCTGATGTGGATGCATGAGAAGGGAGAGAAGCCTACTTTATTGTATAAGATATCTGGATGTTTAATTAGGTTGTATCACAGCTTCAGAATTGCATCTAGGACAACCAACTAAAACTCTAGTCCTATAATGTTACTGAAAAATCCAAAATCAAACAGATAACATATTCTAAATCCTCAAACCCGACAACCAGCAGGCACAATCGTGCCACGAACCGAACCACCAACGTTCTGGCAGAACGCCGTGGCCAAGCCATCCCTCCCACTGTATATTAAGTTGATATTTGAGAGCTCAACGTCTTGACAAGGAAACGTTTTACTACACTGCATACTCAAAGCCGCTTGGCTCGTCGAAGTTCCCCAGATTTTGTTATACTTCACGTCTCTGATCTGAACATGAGAGTCATACTTTCCAGGACTATCGCATTGTCCATTTGGACAATACTGTTGGTCGATGACGATAGGGTTTTCAACATTTACCATTTGGATATTATCGTACAAAAAGTTTGAAACCGAAATGGCCGAGACCGACTTAGCATATGTTTTGATCCGTAAACCGTCGGTTGTACCGTTGAAAATTGAGTTTCTCACGGTTAAGCCCTCGACGTTCTTCTCATCTTTATACCGGCCGAGGCTTCCGACACTAATCCCGTGCCCTGGTCCGCACCTAGGAATATATCACAAGATCAGTATATTGAAAAAAAAAATCACTACATTGAATCCACATAGAGACCAAAGAAATAAAAAATAATTTCTTGGTTAACCAAAAAGAAACATAAAATCACAGAATAATTTCTTGGTTGACTTTATTGGCTAACCAAAAAAAGAAAAAAACAATGTTATCATACTTCTTCTGTTTTATGTAAATTTATATATTTTTTGTTAAGAGGTTTGCTATATTTCCGCTAATCAAATTGGAGTTGAATCTATAATTAAGGCGAAATAATATACCTGACATCAGAGATATCCAAATTGGTAGTTCCATCAAGTATTGCGATGCAATCATCACCAGTTGCGATTGTGACATTGTAAATATGCATATCCTTTGATCTACCTATCTTGATACCATCGGTATTAGGGCTATCTCCAGGAGCCGTGATGGTCACGCGGGTAATGTTAAAATCCTCGACCGAGTAAAAGTTCAAGTGACCCATTTTGCTGTTGATAGATCTCAGACCGTTGATCCTCGAGGATCTAACGAACGCAAACCCTATGTTGATAGCTAGTGTACGACAATTAGGGTTTTTGTTACAATCGTTGAGGGACCAAGAGTAAAAGCCTTGACCATCAAGTAACCCTCCTCCTGTAACGGTGAGATTGTCTACGTACCGAAACTCGATCCATGCTTCTTGTTTGATGACGTTAGGATCCCGAGGAGCCGACAAGGTTCCGGTGATAATAAAAGTGATATAACTTTTGCAAGGACCAGAGAAAGTTACTTGACTGAGATAGAACGTTCCTAGAGGTATGTAGACCGTTGATCTTCCACCACTCCATTGACAAGCATCGTTCCAGGCCTTTGTAATCTCAATAGCGTTGTCTCTTTTGCCGTCGCCCCGAGCACCGTAGTTTCTGACGTCGAAGATCTTATCTCCTCCGTGATATCCATTCGTGGAAGCATTTGAGACGGCGAGGAAGAAGAAGAAGAGAGATAGCACAGACAAGATCAGAAACCTAGACGCCATCTCGATCGATCTCACTTCTTTTTTTTTTCTTAACCTTTTGGTTTAGTTGAGGCAAAGTCAAGCGTTTGAGCTTCTATATTTATAGGGTGACAAGATAAGAATATATACGACATTAAATGTTTAATAAACATATAAGGGAAACACAATCTGTTACTACCATACATATGGAAAATTATTACTTTATTAGTATTAGAATCCTATCACGATAATAAGATTTTTTTTTTTTTGTAAATAGAAACTCAATGTAGAATCTTCCTTTTTCATTTCGCTTGAATTTCGGTTGGAATATATGGATTCGTAAATTCAGCATTTATATAATGTTTTGATTACCAAAAAAAAAATGGATACGTATGATTTGTGTCTGTGTGTGTTAAAATTCTTGTATCTTATATATTAAAATAGAAGTCATGACTTGACTTCATGTGTGATTTTTTAAAAAATAGACTGTTACTAGAAAGTCATGTTACATTAACTCTCTAATAATTTTATTATTATTATATCTTATGAAAAATTTATATATATAATAACACAGATACGCTTAACAATTTAGTTTGGGTAAATTATCCTACACCTTCCAATTTAATCACTCAAAATAAGTCAATAGATATAAGTTTAGGAATCTTCTATTATTTATAAAGAAATATGTCAATAATAATTAAATGCAGCCACAATATATTAACAAAAATCATGGATTCGTAATATGGAATATTTATATACCCTAACCAAATTTACACTATATATACTAGAAAAATTTATTTCAATGTAAATTTTTAAAATCATGTTGTTTTAAAAAAAAACTAGATTTTGACCCGCGCAACCGCGCGGGTGTTTGTTTTCGTTTATAGTTATATAAAAATTTTGTTTTCACTTGTAAATTGGTATATATTATAGTAATCACATATTTACGATATGTATAGTAAATGTTTTTCAAACATAATAATATTATATAATAAGTGTTTTAATCAAATAGATTGTTTCAAATTTTCTATATTANAAACATGTGTTTGTTTCTTCTTCTATATTTTATTGTTTGTTAGATTAATATTTCATTTTTAGATAAAGTAATATAAATAGAGCTTGATTAAATATTAGTGTAATTTAATTTGCAAAGATAATATAAACTTCGAAGAAATTTTTGCTAAAAACTAAACTTATAGCTTCATAAATTAATATTATAAAAAGTTTACTAAAAAGGAACTTTTTAAACAATTTATTTTTTTAAACAATACAATTTTAAAATTTTACATCGAAATAAATTTATCTAATATATATAACGTGTAAATTTTGTTAAGGTATATAAATATTACATATTAATAATTTGTGATTTTTGTTAATATATTCTGGATGCATTTAACTATTATTGACATATTTCCTTATAAATAATAGAAGATTCCTAAATTTATATCTATTGACATATTTTGCGTGACTAAGTTGGAAGGTATGGGGTAATTTACCAAAACAAAATTGTTAAGCATATTATAAGATATAATAATGATAATATTATTAGAGAGTTAATGTAACATAACTTTCTAGTAACAGTCCATTTTTTAAAAAATCACACATGAGATCAAGTCATGACTTCTGTTTTAATATATAAGATTGTTTAAAATTCTTTTTTTTTTAAATAAAATTCTTTATAATATTAATTTATGAAGCTATAAATTTAGTTTTTAGCGAAAATTTCTTCGAAGTTTATATTATCTTTGCAAATTAAAGTATACTAATATTTAATAAAGCTCCATTTTGTATTACTTTATTTAAAAATGAAATACTAATCTAACAAACAATAAAATATAGAAGAAGAAATAAACACATATTTGAAAAACATGTATAATATAGAAATTTGAAACAATCTATTTGATTAAAACACGTATTATATAATATTATTATGTTTGAAAAACATTTACTAGACACTTCGTAAATATGTGATTACTATAATATATACCAAGTGAAAACAAAATGTTTATATAATTAACTATAAACGAAAACAAACATCCGCGCGGTTGCGCGGATCAAAATCTAGTCTATTCTATTAAAATAGAGTCATTCTTTTTATCTACTGATACAAGTTGTCATTTAAATTTGGACCCTTTCTAGAGTGTTACAAATAATACAAGTTATATAGTTGATTGAACCGCATTACTTAAATTAAACTGGCGGTTATTTATTGAATAGAGTTTTGGGCTTACTTTTGTTTTTATGACATTTAATTCTTTGGTTTTTGGGCTTAGTATTAAATAAAAACTCCAAAAAACATTAAATAAATTTTCCACCTTAATGGATCAAAAATCAATTACTATTTTTAGGCCCAAAAATATTTAATATTTTCAAGAAAACAAAATTATCTATTATTAATCACTTAGTTAAATCATGTACTTTAAAACATGTTAATATTTTTTATTTTAAATAACAATCACTCTATCTTGATAAATTTAATGGTAACTTTTAAATAATTTATTGTTTTATTTTTCTTAAATAATTTACAGATTTAAAAAAAAAATATGTAAAGCAAAACCAAAAACCAAATCTAAAAACTAAAATTCAAAACCAAAAGCTGAAAACGCAGGTTATATTTTTTGTTTTTTTATTTACAAAATAAACTATTTCAAAAATTTTAGAAAATTATTTTGTCATATTTTCAGTTTTAAATTACATGTTCGGTTAATTGAGATTTGTTTGTTGGTAATATCAGTTCAAACTAACTCAGCGGGTCTAAAAATTAAAAACCCAAACTAAAAGATAAAAAACAAAAATAGAAACTTAAAAACTAAAAACCAAAAACCAAAATTTAAAACAAAATCTAAAAATAAAAACTGAAACTAAAAACTAAAAACTAATGAAGAAAAACTATCACCACAAATTTGGTAAACTAATTTTATACCAAAACATTTTTTAAATTAAGATAAAACCCAATTATATAAAGTTTTAATCATAAAAAATTTCCACGCTTTTCAAGCGCGGGTCAAAATCTAGTATTATTTTATGTGTGTTTACATAGTAACTAGAGCTGGACCCATCCGACCGGACGGGTATTTATTTCATTTTTATATAAATGAATACTATTTAAATGTCTATCTGTTAATATTTTTAAATATTTATCATATATCTAAGTTTTTATAAACACAACAATCGAATAGTTTATGTGCTGTAAAAATAGTGATTCTTGTCCATTATTAAACTTTTGAAAAATTAATATTGACCTATTGATAGTTTGAATAATATTTCTTGTAACATGAAATTGTTTGCCAAATGTAAAAAGAATTTAAATATTTTGATCAGATATGGATAATATGGTAAGATTTAAATAAGTTATAAAAAAAGAATATTTGGTTATAAACATTAAACATTGTTTTACAAGTAATTAAATATTTCAATTTCAGTAATAAATTTTCTTGTTGAAAATAATTAATAGCAACCAAAATGGTAAAACATATATTTTAGAAATTCTTATAAAATATATAATCTTAGGTGAGATTTAATTATATTAAAATAATATTCATTTACAATAGTTCATGTTGTTTATAAGTAGTTTAAATATATTTAAAATCTTATTCTTCAAAATAATTAATGCTAAGTTAAACATATATTTTAGGAATATTCATAATTTTTTTTAATTTCGAATTTAAACTTGAATTTTGTTCAAAATAATTAGTGGTAACGTTATACAAATTTAAAATTGTTAAAATCGATTTTAAATATGAATATTCCTAAAAATCAGCTTGCTTATTTTAGGGAATATATTAAACACGAAAATTAAGCAAAAATTGATTGAGGAAATTTTTTAATAAATAGGAAAAGACAATGATTACTTACATATGAATTCATTTAATTACTTCAGTGGCATGCTATTGTAAATAAAAGTGAAAACTAAGGGATATTTTATATAGGTACTTCTCTTTTAATAATATAGATGGAGCTTATATGTATGAATTATGCAGTTTAAATGTCACATGAATAAAAGTATATGTTTAGTTTACCGTAAAACTGGATGTTGTATCTGTCCAATATGAGATGCCTTTATCTTCTGACGAATTTTCTTATCTAACATAACTTGAGTTGCCAAAAATAATACAAATCTATATAGTCATTAAAATGTCAACATTTGAGCTAAACCTTTTTGGCCCCCAACCTTTTTTAGTAGATACGATTTGCTGTAATAAGGAAACTAGAGTTTTTACCCGTACATTCGTACATGTATATTTTTCATTTTTTAAAAAATATTTAATATTAATGTAAATGTTTTAAATATATATTTTATATTTTATGTTATATATTATGTAAATTTATAATCGGTGTAGATCTTTATTCAATTTTATTAATATATAATATTCTTTAATTTTTACTTTGTTATTCAACATTAATAATATAAAATCTTTTTATATTTTTATATTTTCTCAACATATTATTTTATAATAAAAATATTAAATTTTCAGTTAAAAATATATTTCACTAATATCTTCTGAATTAGCAAAACTTTCTGCTATCCTATCTTTTTAAAATAACAAATGAACTAAAATTTAGTTATATACTATTATATTTTTTATATAATCATTTTAGATAATATGTTTTTGTGAGTTTTAAATTAAGTAAGATATAAGATATAGTAAAAATTTAACATTATGCTAAACTTTTTGTATAAAAAATATACATAATTTATGATGTTAATCCTTTTAATGGTGAATAGTTTTTTTATTTAAGTGAAGTAATTTTTTTTAAGAGTTTCATTTACCAAATTTATTTATTTTATTTAATTCATAGTGCAATTATATTTTAATATACATAGACTATAATATGAAATTTATAAAATAGTATAGGATTCTTTTTTTGTTATTATAGTGAAATTTTAATTAATATTAATGTATAATAGTATGATATCAGTAATTACAAAATTCATTATTATGTTTTTTAATAAAAAAAATATTTAAACTTTAGTAAGATTTTGTTAAATTTTCTCTCAACCGATTATGTTATAACTAAAAATAAAATATAAATCTATTATT